GTCCAAGACCCCTTCCAAAAATATATCTAAAGCTAAATTGGAGGGGGCATTGCTCAAGTGTTAAAGTACCTGCCTAGTAAATGCAAAAGGCCCTGGTTTCCTATCTCAGTACCATCAACTCCGCTCCCTGAAAAAGAAAAAAACAACAACACAAGAAACCTACCCATACTCAAATACCATTAGTACCTCTATTATTCTCTTACCTAGATTATTTCCAAGCCAGCGTTTGACTTCTTTAGAGAAAGTATTCATCAAGCAGCCAACATAGGCTCTCTTTATTTTTTCTCTCATTTTAGATTTCTTGAATTCGCAGTATTGTCTACCAGGTCTTTTAATGTGTGTATGTTTAAGTTCTAAGCAAACTAAGATGCTCTGTGGAGTTGGTACATTGAGAGGTGTCTCCTGCCAAGGAGAGCCACAGGATGTAGTGACATTCCTAAGGATGGTGAAGACAGATGGAACTGAATTTGACTAAAGCCTGTGTCACTGATGGTGGTGCAGCTTTGGGAAAGCTATATGATCTTGGTTCAGTCAGTTTTCATTTATTGTTTAAAGGTTGTCAACACCTGCTTCACCGGGTTATCATAAAATTACAAATGTCCATTAGCCAGCATAACAGAATATTCAGGAGATGGTAGATCGTGTGACAGAACGTATCCCATAGGCTAAGAGGTGAGATATACCTGTCTCATCTCCCTAGATATCCTTCTTCTTACCATGGTAAACCCTGGGGTTTATATGCATACTGCACGACTTTCTCAAAATAGTTCCTAATTACTAGTACTGACAACAATCTAGAAAAAAAAATGGCATCCTTCTGTTCTTTTGGAGGTTTTAATCTGCTCCCTATGGGTTGAGTCTGCCAAAATTAATTAGTTAGATTTGGGAGGGGTGGGAAAGTGAACTAATATCAAGTATTAAACTCAAGGCCTCGTTTTCTCATTTGGCTTGCTGGCACATGACTGGTGCTCTCCCACTTGATTTGAGTCACACCTCCAGTCCAAAGTTTTGCTGGTTCGTTGGAGATGGATGAAGTCTGATAGACTTTTTTGCCCAAGTCATAATCCTTCAGTCTCAATTTCCTGAGTAACTAGGATTACAGATGTGAACCACTGTTACCCAGCTAATGGTTGTCCAAAGTGAGCATAATCAGAAAGCAGATATTTTGATGAAACATTTCAGAATACAAATCATGGACTCATGGTCTTTTTAGAAGACCTTTTCCTGATTGCAAAGGGAAAAAACAGTAGGAAAGTTCCTTTTGTCAAACATGAAATATGAGACCAACAGGTGAATTCATCATAGTTTCCAGTATTACAATGCCCTAACCTTCCAAACCATTTGTCTTTGAAAAACAAAAGGATTAAAGGAAGTCTTAGATCAGGTGCCATGGGTCCAACTTGTGCCTCGGTGACCTTATTCAAGACATTTAGCCACAGGATATAATATGTATATTGTGGGTGTTTCAGAACAGAGTGACATATGTATTTTGTTTGTAAGACTTAAGTTCCTGCCTTCCTGGTGACTCTTTCTTCTCCTTTCCTGAAGATGTTACTAGTATCTATACAAATTGAATATAAATGGATGAAAACAAAAATGAACATTACTACCATATAAACAGTTGGTACTTAATATATGTTACTTGTCTGGTAACAAGAGGAAAACCCACCTGGCCAAAGTTGAGTAGAGATTTGGCTAATAAACTCAATCACTAGCCTCAAGCTATCAATAGACAGAATTACATATTAACTGCTTTCCTTCAGAATGTAGCAACTTCCTGGATAAGAAATAGATCTAAAATAGAAATATTCTTATCTGCATGAAAAATGGCATATATGTAAATTAAAACGGTTGTTTCCTATTTCAACAATAAAGAAAAAGTTGCTTAAACATAGAGAAAATAATAAATAGTGTGATTTCCTGTTTAGGCAGCGTAACTCTGATTGCCACATGTCTATTAAATCAATGTCTCTGATAAGAATGGGAAAGAAAATTAATGCTTTTTCCTCAGGAAACAAGCATTTGGGGGATACCATCACTGCATGGAAATTTCCTCCAGGAAGATATGTGCTTTCTTCTTCTGCCTCTGACAATCTCAGGGCCACTTCTTGGCCCCCAGGGGAACTGATTGCTGTTCATTTCCAGACAATAAAATGCCACTACTCTTGTTTACGTGTCACAGTACATGGCCACACACACGCAGTAAGTGACTGTGTATGAGGTAGCTTCTGCGGCTGCCTAGTCCATACCACACCTTCAGTGTTCCTGTTCACATATGGTGACCTGTATTTAATAAATGTGTTTAAATGTCACCTATAACTAATGCTGGCACAGTGGAATGGTGATTTTAAAGGTGAGCTGAGTGTCCATCTCTCTTGAGCAATTTTTAGAGGCTACCCCTCTCCTCTGAGTTTCCAATTCACTGATAGGATGACTTTCAGGATAGGAACATTGTGTCCCCTGCATCTGTGATTAGACAAAGGGCTCACTTGTCCTGCTTTTATTTTCTAACCTCATTTTGTCTTTTTCTGGCTATCTTTTTCAATGTAGGTCTAAGGTATAGATTGGGGGGTACAGGCAGGAAGAACAGAGCCACCGTGAATCAACTTGTACAAATCCTCTTTCAGATTAACTCTCATCTCTATCTGCTTTCATCCATAGGCACTAGTGGGATATTCGACTCTTATTTAAGTCAATATACCAAGCAGGAAGATGATGTAGAAGCTGTGACTACATCATTGGTTACTTTACCTCAAAACCTAGTACAGCAGTTGCTTAGGTAGTTCACAATCTCATGAAAGGTTGCCAAGTATATAATAAGGCACACTGCTATCACTAGATCTGTCTATATGGCTACCATTTCCCAAAGGCTCAGAATGCAATCTTGATAGACACATGTTTTGCTTTATCTCAGATCTCTAGTTCCAAGAAGAATCACCAGTTATAGGTACACAGTTCTAAACATTTCATTCTTCATCTCTCCTGGGCATGGACTATCAAGGGGATGGTGACTTATCTACATCTTCTAGAACACTATTACACAGGCATTCATCTTGGCAACTTATAAAATAATCCAGAGAAAGCTTTCTCAGCTCTCCTAAGGAAGGCCATTTCTTCTTGCAGTAGATCACAAGTAAGACTGACATGAAGAATGTTCTTGCAGAAGCAGCTTGCAAAGACAAATTGTGCACGGAATTTGTTCTGTTTCACCTTCGCCTCCTCTGCTCTTCTGCTAGTTCTGTGTCGCTTAACATTTTGAATATTTAATACTATGCTAATTTTCCTCATTCAATGTCATTTCTATTCTGGAGAAACTTTTTACAGAAGTCATCCTACCAATATTTAAAATAAATGAGGGTATTATTTGGGACAGTTGTATCTTATAGGAGTTATTTGCAACCTCAACATTTGTTTGTCTTTCTCTATGGATTTTTTTTTTATGTTTAAAGGCAGTGACAAGAACAAATAATGTATGCATCTTCCTTTTGTCTCAAATTCTAATTTCAAGCAGCAAGAGAAAAATAAGATTTCACAAAGCAGAAGGTCATCAACATTGACATTTGTCATAATTTCCTTGGAATCATGTTGTGAACACTGATGAGGTTAAGTGTGTATAAATTATACCCTCCAACTATTCAAAGATACAAAGACAGAATCATCTCAATGCATTATCTGTGCTCTAATGTTTTCTAGTTCTCCTATTAGTCTAAGACCTCACATTGTAAATAATCTCTCAAAAGACAACGTTCTACTTGTCACTTAGAAATCTATTCCACCAGGGGACCTGGAATGACTAGAGAAAATAAGAGATCTTAGAATATAAATTGAGTGAGACATTTGAATCACTCCATCTAAACTTTTACCTTATTGGTAAGAAAAGAAAGTTGCGGGAGAAGAAATCCTCTTTCCCTACTGCACATGTGGCTGTCTTTGAACATGATCCTTCTTGAGTAAGGAGGATTCCAGGTGCTTGTCTCCTTCTTTCTGCTTGAAGGAAAACTCATACCCAAAGCAAGATGCAACAGTGTTGTAAGTAAGGAAGGGACCAACTGAAGCTCAGGGCTGGAGGGTTAAATCACTTCTCTGCTAACAACAGCTCTGGGATCATTGCAAAATTACTTAGCCATTTTACAAGCTAGTTACTTCCACCTTCCTCATCTATAAACAGATGAGGTTGGCCTAAATCTCCCAGACCTCTTCCAATTCCCAAACCCCATAATTCAGACTGCCCATAAAAAAAAAAAAATCAATGTAACTCTGGGATGTTCATTTTCCAAAGTAAAGTAGTAAAGACTCTGGGGCTTTTTCATTAACAAATGCCAGAAGCTATAGGGAACTTTGTGGGTACTCAATAAATATTAAACAATCAATTTTATTTTTCATCTGCAAAATGGGGTGAGTAATGCTGACTTCTCTCCCAGAACTTTGTGAGAAAGATAATAAATGAGAACACTCTTCGGATAGTGAAGTAATTTGAATAAGCAGCTTTAATAGGTCTGAGGTCTGGAGACATGATGCAAGAATAAAGTAGCTTTTTGTATTATTATATCTGTGAAATACAACCATCTTTTCATCTATTTAAGATGAAACAGTTATTATCCTTGCTTAGCCCCAGAAAGTCAGCTTGAGTAATTTCTGTGCAAATGGAACTTTTTCCTGTAATTTTTTCCATTTATCACTTTTAACAAAATGCAGCTTTTATCATTACCTGATATCAAAATGGAATCCTATCTCAACTCAACTTGCTTAATGAGCCATTCTATCACCATTGTACTACTCTGCCTAAAGAAAATGCTTTCTGAAAGGACTGGTAAGCTGCTCACATGAGAAAATGGAACATTTATTAATCCTCCTACTCCAAAATCCAAAATCATCCAATTCAGGAATTGTTGCTAAGGAAAAATCGTATGCTACACGTTAACTTCATGGAAACTTCTACAATGTTTGTTTGTTTGATATTTTTATCTAGCAAAGATTACATGCTATTTTTTTCCTTGCAGTATTCCAACAAAAGGCAGCCAGAAGACAGTATGACAGTGACAAGTTCCATGGTCTTCCTAAGAAACCAGGTACTGACATTAACTAGTCTTCTGAATCTTTTTAAGTCAGATTTAAGGAAATATTAGGCGAAGGAAGGGTAGACATGAAAAAGAATTGTGCTCATTACGAGCCTCATGTAACTGTAAATTCTCTGTACATCACCTTGTGATAACAATTTAAAAAAAGAAAAAGAATGTTTCCTTAAGAGAGAAAAAACAGATGAATCTAATAAACATATGAAGTAGTCCAAAATTTAAGTGTACTCAAGGCCAAAAAGAAAATTTCCAAACAAAAAAGGGATATTTTGTTCTCTAACTGCAATTTATCCCTTTGTTCGTACATGATTTATTGAGTGTTTACTATGCCAGGACTTGGGCTAGTAAATTTACATGTGCTATTGACCAAAGAGAGGTGTGGAGAAATCTTAGGAATACTAGATAAAAACGACTAGGTCACAAGTTAATAATTGAGAGTTTGATCAATTTAAGTATGAAGTTAGTATCTTACCCACATATAATTTGTCACACCACCAATTATAAAAATGTATTTCAATTCACAAAGGCAGGAAGTGGCCTTGTCACCGTGGCTGTGGTGATGGGTGAATGTTGTTTTCAGGGCTTCAGGAAGGTCAAACAAGACAAATTGTGTAACATGAATCTGAGAGCACAGTTTGATACAACTGCAGATGAAAGCCTCTTTCTAGAAGCATCCGTTGGTAGGAGAGGTGGATGACTAATTCTCTAGTAGATGAGATTTAACATGGGGATATTTTTTCCTATATTCTACAATGATGTCAACCAAATGATTGTACCCTCTTTCTACTATTCTCTTGCCTTTGGCACTTGCAGCAACATATTGTGAGCAATTATGTGTCACACACAGGCAGAGCTGGAAAGTAAAGCCACAGGGACATCTCACAGAGTTGGAATCTATCCTGCCTCCCTGAAACATGTGTCTGCTTTTCTAAAGAAGAACTCTAACAGGGTGTTTATTATTATTATTATTTATTTCTGACAATCAGGACTGAATTATTGCTCAAGTATGAAAAGATACAAAAGGTGGAAAGTATAGAAAGAAATGTTAAGCTGGCTCTGATGATCAGCAAGCGTGTAACATCCGCCTTAGAAATAGTGCTAGTCACAAAAAAATATATATCTTGACTTTGGCAGCAGGAAATGGTTGAAAGCGACATTAAAATAAAGTCAGGAAATCATTTCCTAGCAGCCACTGTGCATGCCCATGGTCCTTGTTCTTGGCATTATGGATAGGCTACATAAAGAATGCACCAACTTCTAACACCCACCAGACTATACTACTATGGGTCATCCTCCAGGGAAATCTCTGTCTTCATCTGGGGAAATCCTCTGGTCTGTCAAGAATTTCTCAAGGAACCTACACAGGTTCCCTTAAAAAAAATGTTGAATTATTTAATTCTACTTCATGCTGGAAGGAAAGAGATGGTACGAGCCAGCTATTTTTCCACTGACAGTATAAGCATTTCAGATGCCCTCAAATTCAAAATTGTCTAGGGATTGCCAGGAAGCTACACTATGGCTAAGCCAAGGAATTTTCCTAAGGAACAGAAGGGGGGAAAAGAAATTAATTGGCCTCATTTCCATGGAAACTCAACAGAATTCTTCAATTCAATTTTTACATCCTGAAAAAAAAATACATAGGGAAAAGTACTCAGACTACAGATCAGATATTAAATTTTTTTCCATCAAAATACAGTGTTAAGCTCAATTTTCCCAGGCTGATTTCCAAATTAGGTAATGCTAAAGAGTGCTGCCAGCGATAGCAATGTACCTACCACACTGCTTCCTACCACTGAGCCTCAAAGAGCAGTCAGGAATGGCTTCTTCAGGGTGATAAGGCAAAGAACCAGATTTCATCACTGCATTTGGAGTTGATCACAGTTTTGAAACCTGGGTTATGTTAGCCATGCTCATGGGAAGCTGATTGATAGCCCAGTCTATTAAGCCTATAATAGGGGAAGAGTCCTTTCCAGAGACCAGAATACCTGCATTCATTTGATCCTTGCCAAATGACAAAATATCTATCAAAAGTTTTGAAAAAAGAAAACAAGTTATGGTTAAAAGTTACTAAGTGAACTTGACAAGTTCGTGTTAAAGAACACTATAGGAAGAAAGGAGTGCCTTCAATGACTTGGAAATAGCTAGCTAACTTCTACCTCAAGAAAGCGTAGAATCTTTTAGGGTACAGATTGCTCAAATTTGTCAGACCTAGTAAATGATTTCTTCGGTGTGTGCAGAGAGGCTTTTTCTATCCATACCAGAAGCAGACCTATTTTTTCTAAATTTTCTCTTATTCAGAGATGGCATAAGATACAGATTGGTTCAAGCATTTATAACTTCCTCCCTGTGATCATAGGTCATATCTACAAATCTCCTCCCTAACATGCAGTTAAATCATGACCCTCATTAAGGATGTGTTGTTCTTATAACTATTAGGACTAAGTCATGTCTATGGGGGAAGGGAACTACATTTATCCTAACCAGCTGCTGATGTTAAGTGCTCCTAACTCTGAAGGACCATAAGACTTATCGTAAGGCATGAACCAGGTGCCAGTGGCTCACATCTGTAATCCTAGCTACTCAGGAGGCTGAGATCTGAGGATCAAAGTTTAAAGCCAATTCAGAAAAGAAAGTATATGAGACTTTTCTCTCCAATTAACAAGCATAAAGACAGTAGTGGAGCTGTGGCGCAAGTGATAAAGCAATATGCTTTGAGTGAAAAAGCTAAGAGACAGCATCCAAGCCCTGAATTCAAATCCCAGTACTAGAACACCAACAAAAAAAAAAGATTGTAAAATTCCTAAACTTGATTGTCTAAACCCTGCCATAGACATGAAGTGAAAGTAGAACTAATAGACTGTTAATTAGCAATAATCTCAAAATATACACAATGAACAAAATCCAACCAGAAGAAGCCATATTTTAGTCAAATTTGACCTCCAGCTCTATTACATTTCAAAAATAACTTACACAATATACTTGAATTTTTTATTATTTATGCTTGAATTTTTGTGCCAGCATTTAAGACCATGATTCATATAAAGGCTCAAAAGCCTAATTGTGCCTTAAGCATATAAATGTGTCATTGGCCAGAGGTAGCTTTTGATATTTTCATTCTTTTCTTGTCAGTTTCTAGTATTTGACATACATTTCTCCAAACTATCATTCAATCTAAAGTGTGAAAATAAAAGATATATCAAGAGGGTCATGTTATCAAGAAGAAAAGGAAAGAACATTTATTTGTAACAATAAAGATTCATTAAATGAATATAAGTACCTACTAAGACTTCTTTCCTTGGTGAATCTATCAGGTTACCCTTGTAGGCTTATTAGTTTGTATCCTTTAATAGTCCCTGTCCATAAATTCTTCCCTCCAGACTACAAAAGCCATTATTTGGCTATTCTTTGGGGATGGTGGTGGAGGGAATTGTGTATACCCATGGGGAAATACAGTCAGCGAACATGTTTTTATGTGTTCTCTACATGTCTAGTTCTGTCCAGTTTGATAAATGTTAAATAATAAAATTATCTCTAAGCAAGAGACGTAGGGAAATGTGAGTAGTATTGGTTTTACATGGGGGAAAAAAAGTAGTCATGTGTGAGGTATTTTCATCAGGCTGTTTTTGCCAGTAGTGGCTATATTAAATAGAAAAGAAGGAAAATGGTCAAAATGCGGTCATTTATACTCCATAAAAGAATAATAGTGTTCACTCCTTTTCCCAGCATAACATATTTCCATTTGTCATATTGCTTCACAAAAGTTTTTGGGTTTTAAAAAAATTTTGTTAAAAGTCATACTGGAAAAAAATCAGTAATAGCTGAGTTCTTGCCTGAAATGGTGCTGTATGAAGACCGCACCAGGTGGCCACTCACAGAAAGGAAGGCAAAGTTTGAGAAACACAAAATTCTTAATACTGAAAACACAAATGGGAGATTTCGTTTGCTAAAGTATGGAGCAAACTGAATTTGATTCTAAGTCTATGGTGAGTAAATAAAACCAAAGTACTTTATATGCATGTATAAAAATAGAATAAGCATAAGCATGATGTAAGACAAGAAAAGGAAGAAGCCGGACATGGTGCTATATCCATAACATCCAATCTACTAGATAAAGCAATAAGTAGGAGGATGGTGGTTCCGGCATGCTCTGGGCAGAAAGAAAGGTCCTATTTCAAAAATAATCGGTGCATAAAAGAACTGTGTGCATGGCTTTGCAGTAGTGTATCTGCCCAGCAAATGTGAGGCTCTGAGTTAATACCTTTCTACTCCTGAAAGTAGATGGGGATGAGAAAGAGTAAGTAATAGAAGAAATATGCCCTAATCTGAACAATTTAAAAGGTGCTTGAGATTTAAAAAAAAATAATAATTATGAAGCAAAGTAGTCCTCTCCCTGTAAGAGAAGGTAGAAAGCTGTGTAAACCTCACCTACTGCAAGTACATTTAGCCAGGTGGGTTCTGGTGGCTCACACCTGTCATTTTAGTTACTCAGAAGGCTAAGATGTGAGCCTGAGCAGACCAAACCAGTGAAATTCTCATCTCCAGTCAATCAACCAAAAGCCAGAAGTGGAGATGTGGTTCAAGTTATAGAGTCCTAGCCAAGAGTACAAGAGTGAAGGAGGAGGGGAATGAGGTAATGGCACAATGGCAGGGCTGTGGAATGGTGGTGCTAATCAGCCCCACTCTGGCAGCCCTGGTACATAGGCTGCATCTGTAAGGTGCATCTCGTGAGTTGAACTTGAGAGTTGAAAGCTATTTTTTTAATAAAAAGCACATGGCACAGGAAGCAGGATCTCAATTGTGATCTGTACTTTTTGCTATTGAACCTATTAGCCCTCTGGTTGACATAGGCTTCTCCAGCTCCCCCTGGGGCTGTCCTGCTCTGTCATCACTGAAGGAAGATTTAGACAATAGACTCTGTTGATGCCTCGTTAGTGCTAAAGGACAGATTCAGAAGAGAAAAGAAGTCAGTCAAGAAAGACCCCATGGGAATCAGAACGACGGGCCTTAGAACACTCATGTGTACATGTAATAAATCTTGCAGGAAAGATAACCTTCCTGCATCCTGGTTCCATGATGCATTGTTCAAGTTATCTTAGAGCTCATTTCTCTTAGCATCATTTTATATGATCACCTGTACATAGCTATTGAGCTATTGTGATCCTCTGCTGGGACTATCTTAGACATAGATAATGATTACAAAAGAAGGAAACCATGGAATCTATGTGTTTTTGGGTCTGGCTTATTTTCTTTGTTGCTGTTTTTTAATGTACTGTGTGAAGGTATCTCTTTATTCTTTCATTGTTTTTCCTTTGGTTTATTCCCTGTTGCCACTGTATTTGATTTTGATACTCTCTGTCTTGTATATATGTTTATCTGAATTGAGGAAGGGAATGGAAGGGGAAAACAAAATGACAAGACAAAGGACAAAGGACAAACCAATGCAACAGAGATACTCACAAGACAATATGCAGGGAATGAACTTAACAACTGGGGGATGAGGTTGGAAGGGAAGGAAAGTGGAAGAAAAATGAGGGAGTGAGTAACAATGTTAGACAAGAAATGTACTCATTAGCTTATGTATGTAACTGTAACCCCTCTGTACATCATCTTGACAATAAGAGAAAATTTAAAAAAAAACTGAAGTAGAAATTTGGGCATTGCAGGACAGTCCCAAGACTCAAAACTCCTTCAAATACATAAGGCCAGCTATCAAATACTTGAAACCTCCTATGTCCAGAGTAACCCATACTGAGTCTACTAATGAATCCATAAGGCTGTATACTTCAGTGTCCCCCTACTTCCCAAATCCTTTCTAATAGCATCTAGATACATACAGCCCAGTTCTCTCTTGAACAAAATTTTCCAGTAATGAATAAGTTTCTCCAGGGAAGGTTTACTGAAATACATTTGGGTGGGACCATATTATTGCATACACACTCTGGGCCTATTTAGATTGGACAGTGCATTAAGGTATGTTCTATGGTTCTATTACCTAACTCTCTTGAAAGTATGCTGGAGTTAAAGGAAATATATAAATGAGAAAGGTATTTGGGCCCAGTAAGTCTTTAAATACCACATTAATAAATGTAACACCGAGTTTGTCCATGGTCAGCCAATCTACTACTTCTATTTCACATTTGAAGTACTCCATTAGCCATGGTTTGCAATCCTTATTCTAAGGAGTTACATTCATATCCTTTGACTATTTTTAATTTGATTATCTGGTTATTTTATTGCATTCTTAAAGTTCCTGGTGTATATATGATAGATATTAACTTTTCATGAATGGTTTGCAAGTTTTTTCTCAATCTTTAGGTTGTCTCTGATTCTATTTATTTGCTGTGCAAAAACCCCTTGGTTTGATATAGTCCCACTTGTTTATTCTTGCTTTTGTTTCTTGTGTTTATCAAAACAACTCGGTCTATATCAATGTGTTTATGGCTCAATTTTGGTGTTTTATATATATCCAGTATTTATCTGATTCTTCTGTATTTCTCAGTTTCCTGGCACCAAGTTGTTTATATTGGTTGTTAGTGTTCTTTAATATTATATTTCTGTGGTATCAGTTGTAATGTCTCCTTTTTCATCTTAATTTTTTCTTTTTATTCACAGTTTATCCAAAGGCTTTTTTTGTTTTACTTATTAAAAAAGAAAAGTATTTCATTGATCTTTTACCTTTTTTAATCCTCTATCTCAGATTTCTGTATGTTAACTTCCTTTTAAAGCATCTCCCTTCATATTATAGACAGAGTTCAAATGGAGAGCCCAGCCTTTCCTATTCCAAGGGACTGTCTGACTGTTAGACAGGAAGAACTCATCTCCCTTCAGGAGAAAGTCAAGAATGGCAAAATGTCTGTGGATGAAGCCCTGGAGAAATTTAAACACTGGCAGATGAATGAAAGTGGACTGGAAATGATTCAGCAGGTAATACTGACTCTGGTGTCTTCTGGAACATTTCCTCATTTGTGGAACTGTAAACAAAAACTATAGTCAACTGTTCTCTTGTTTTTAAGTAACTACATAAAAAAGATACTGAAAGTGACCAACAAAACTTGAAAATAATACCCATCCTTCATACTTAACGTTTTATTCATGTGAACTTAATCCTGAAGTCCAGTGTATTAATGCTTATACCTTCTTAGCTTATAAGACCTGTCCTTAATACAGTAAAGATTTTTCAGTCTAATTGCTGAAATGAAGATGAAGCATCTTTAAACTAACATATGTTCAGCATTCAGAAGTTTATAATATAAAGTAGATATATGGAAACAAAAAAAATAATTAACATTGAATCAAGCAATACTCCTAATCAATTTTATCTTCTTTCTCTTTTTTTCTTCTTTCTCTTTATTCACTGGTAGATAGATGATTGGTAGACAGACAGACAGACAGAAAGACAGACAGACAGACAGACAGACAGACAGACAGACAGATAGATAGATAGAAGATAGACAGACAGACAGACATGTATAGGCAAGGCTTATAAAGAAATGTCAAGAATATAAGTTTCAGATAACCTTGTATCCTATAAATATAATTTATATTCAGAGAAAGAGTTGGATGCAACAGTTATATTTCATATATCCATTGACATTTTTCAATGAGGGATATCTGGACCATCGATCTTCTTCACAGGACTTCTCACTCCTGAAATATTTTAACCACTTTTTTCTTCACATTACATAAAGTCTCATTACCTCAGAACAGAGCTTTTTGATAGTTGCTTGATTAAAACTGTTAAATAAGCTCATTTTTGAGCCAAAATATAAATAATTAATATTAGCTTCATATGCTGCCTTCCCAAGAGAGCATTTTTATTGGAAGGGTAATGCTGAGAAAAACCACTTTTTAAACAATAGAAAAATGAGTCACGATGATAAAATGTCAAACAACAGCACACAGGCCAGAGATAGCGTAGGCAAGGGTACTTTCCAAACACATCTGAAATCATGCTTTAGTCAGAAGCCACCATCTCTAAGGGCAGTTCTAGTTGTGGGTTGGTGCCTGGACCTAGTCCAGATTTTACAATACAAAAGTATAGGGAGGTGCTTTGCCAAAAAAAAAAAAAAATCCAGAAAGAAAAGCTGATTGTAGAATTTTGCAACTGTCCATTGCTCATGATTAGAATTACAACACTGTTTCTCTACTTTTGCCAGAATCATCATTTTTCATTTCTCTTATCCTGGAATGGAAAAAAATGTGCTTAGATGCAAACCTGAAAATCATCTTCTCACTGTTACATTTCATAGCTTTTGTCAAAGCAAATGTTTATCCTCCACAAACCCTTAAATAATAAGAAATAAAAAGGTTTTCAACTTGATTTTTTTAGTAAATCCAGCTTCTAGAAAGAATTTCATTAGTTGTTCCATTAAACCCTAGGTTGCTTCTATTTTGTTTGCATATTTACATTTAATGTTGTTTAGAAAGAATTCAAAGTGACAGTCATTACAAAGAAAGACTTATCTGACTTGGCTAAAGTCCATAGATAAAGAATATGGTGAATGCTAACCTAAAAATGCTCACTGATAGATACTTAAGACAAATTTTCATATGAGACAAAAGTTTAATAAATGCTGTTTGGATAGTATTAGAAGAATCATTCAGTAGTCCTTAATATAGAAACCTGAACAAAAGCCCAAACAGGGAAAAATAATAATTTTCCCAGTTTGTTCAACACACACACACACACACACACACACACACACACACACACACACACACACACAAACGCGAGTTTATATGCTTTTTAATATTTCTCTATAGTTGTAGAAGTGTTCATCTTTATGCTGAGGCTGAAATTATCAAAGATAACTGTGAAGTTATACTATCATTAACAGAGAAAGTATCCTAGGGAAAGTGGCACAAATGTAAAGCTAATAAAGCATTTCTAGACTAATGCAGATCCATGTAGAACCTTTGGCACTAAAGAAGGCAGAATGGCCCTTCCCTGTTCTCATTCCTACTCACTCGGTGGTATACTTGAAGGGCAGGGCCTTACTTAGAGAGGATGACCTGCAAAGCAAGGAAAATGACTCCACAGAAAAGCCATGTGTACATTTCTAGGGAAACCAGGAGGAAAGCCTACGCCTCCTATTGTACCAGAAATCAGATATAAATCCAGTCACAAGAAACTAGAGAAGCCATGTTTGGAGCGGCCCAATCTTGGAATCTTCATTAGTGCACTAGCGGCCTGCAGGTGGCCTATTGTCAGAAAGACCTACAGACAGCAAATACACTGTTGGGAAACTGAGCCATGAAGGCCTGAGAGGAAAGAAAAAACAAAAACAATACCAACAAACCAATTCAGCTCCACTGGACAGCTGAAATGGGACACCACGGTGACTGGAGAAATGCTAGGAGATAGGACCCGAACGCAGAGGCACGTGGCATGGCATACTGGTGCCTGAGCTGGTCCAGGCCTAAATAGGGTCAAGCCAGAGGGCAGGGTCACAGGGAACTAGAGTCCCAGGCACTAGACAGATAAGTTTAGTAACCTACCATCCAAGTCCCTGCCCCTGCCTCCAGGGGTTCAGGCACACCCATCAACTGGGAGGTGGGGCCTCCATGAAGACAAGATGCCAGACTCTACCATCCACCATGTGGCCAAGATGGCGCTGGCCTGACCTGATGTCCCCAATTCACTCTTAAGTTAGATTGCTTGGTACAAAGAGTTTTCTTGAAGGCTAGTTGTTGGGGTTTTTTTTTTTTTTTAATTTTTTGATTGAAAACATTGTAGATGTCCACATTTACACCATTTGGAAAACTATAAGATCATTAGTGTTCTGAGAAGGGGACTCTGCTTCTACACCATTTGTTCCCAAGTCTCTTAAGTGTTAGAATTGAATTTAGGAAAGAATATGTCCTTCAGAGGCCAGAGATGGGATCAGGCAGTAACAAACCATCAGGATACCAAAAGATCAAGGGAAAACACACAAACGTGAAGATGGCAAAACAACTCCCAAAAGGAATTAGATTCTGGTTCCAATTCTGATTCTATTACTCATAACCATCTGATTTTTGGCAGTTCCTCCATGAAGCTCATTTCCTGTATATGTAAAAGAGGATAGTGATATTTTACATCTACTAGGCAAAGTTGAAAGGACTAAGATAATAGATATAAAGCACCAAGAATGACTGAGCTCTCACAAATGGCAAAATAGTATGAAGTACTGCTGTTGATGCATGCAAAAAAAAGGTTTAAGTATTGATTTCTGTGTCCTGGTCCTATGTTCTGTGTTCTGTATCCCAATTAAGGAAAAACTACGCCAACTACGAGATAGCATTATTGGGAAAAGACCAGAAGAAGAAAATGTGTACAGTAAGTAAAAATGTGCCTACCACTCAAAAATGAAATGTAATTAAGTGCAAAATACAGGGGCTGGGGAGTCCAGCAGGAGTGGATTCGAATCTACAGTTCATCACTCGCAAACCATCTGACCTTGGAGAGAGCCACAGGCTGGTTCCCAGGTTCCTTGTCTGCAAAATAGAACAGACTACATAGATCTGGAAAGCTGTGAATTAACATATGTAATACCTGAATTCTCTGATCCATAATGGCCCCATTATCCACGCTCACTACTTACTTTTGACTTTTGTGTAAGATATAAGTGACATGATTCTCCGGGTTTCATTAGGCATTATTTAGAGAATTGAAGAATTAAGGAGTCATACCTTTCTAAGAAAGGAGACTTTTCTCCAGGTAGCCAATTCCCAACTTGTTTACAGGCAGATCCTTTTAAATTACAGATCTCAGGTCAGCTTGCTTGACTTTACATACTTCCTGGCCAAGCAGGTTCCTCATACCAATAATTAACAGTTGCTCTAGTGGTAGAGAAGATAGTGGTTGTTAACCAAAACCCAATATTATTATGTGAGTAAATCCACACATTCCAAAATTGATAGTAAATTATATTGTTGCTGTCTGACCACTCTTTCCCCAAGTCTCAACTCCTGCACAGATAAATTTTAAAAAAACAGCCACCACTAAGAAAACACTTTTTATATTTTTAATAATTTTTATTGTGAAATACTGTACAGAGGGATTAGTTACATATGCAAGGTAATGAGTCCATTTCTTATCAAGTGTGTAGAAGTTTACCATGTACAAATTTATTTCTCTTCATAATATTGAACTGTTATTTCCTTTCCCATAAAGAATTATTTAAACTCTCTTAGAGATGTTTTCTAACAGCAGAAATACACTTTCTGAAACAAATAAGGGTATAAAACTCAATAATTGATAAAAGCACAAATTTAATTGTACTATGAAAAATGCGTAGTAGCAACTTATATTTATAAACCCTGTACTATATACTATTATTTCATATAATAATTCTACTAATAGATCTTATTTCTTTTTTTTACTGTTTCCATCTTTACTGTTTTGGGGTGGTTTATTTGCCTCTGATGCTCTTTTTATCCATTTATTTTTATTGTAAAGCTGGGATACAAAGGAGTTACAGTTACATAAGTCGGTAATGGGTACATTGCTTGCTGACCGTATCACTTCTCTCGTTTTCTGTTTTTTTTCCCTTGACCCCCATCCCCAACAAGTTATCTAGCTCATTTTCAACACAGTTGGACCTTATGTCGGATGTGCATATAATAAAGCATATTTTGAGGAACTGAAAAAATAAGAACACAGAGAAACTATCACCCATTTCTGTTTGAATTTGAAATCAATAACCTTTTTTAAATTGTATTATTATTTTTAAATAGTGTGTCTGGGTTATAATTTAACATATCCACTCAGGTTTAAAATGTATCTTGAGCAGAATGACTCCTTCCGGTTTTTCCAACTCCCACCTGTCCCTTTTCCTAATGCTCTTGTTTCCTAGTTCTATATCCACCCACCCATAGTGAGTATGAGACTGTATTTCCCATCATTCCTTTTCACATGTATCCAGTTCAGACCCATCCCTCTCCTCAGCCTTCTTACATTCACTTTGTAAAATTTCACTTCTGTGAATACCATACTTTAGTCATACATTATATGTATTTACATATATGTTATGTTTTAGGTCTAAAATCTACATTTGAGAGGAAACCTGTACCCTTTGCCTTTCAGTGACTTGCTTACTTCACTCAACCTTATTTCTCCAATTCCATTCATTTGCCTGCAAATCACATAATATTAATCTTCCTGTTTCATTATGAATTTTGATTGATTATATGTCTATATCTATATCTATCTGTGTATCATATTCTCCTGATATTCATCAATTACAGGGTATCTAGGCTGGTTCCATAACTTGGCTACTGTGATTAGTTCTCTAATATGGCCACACCAGGTTCTTCACTGTATTTTGGTTTGTAATCTTTTGGATAATGGTTCAATAGTGATTTTACTCGATCATAGGGTAGTTCCATGTTTATTTTTCTTTTTAGGAATTTCCAAACTGCTTTCCATAGTAGTTATGCAAGTTTGCATTCCCACTAACATTTTAGGCTGAATAGTTTCTTTCAAAAGAGAAAGGAATAACTCCAAACAAAATAATACCTATATGGTATAGAAAGCTTTTACCAACAGTCAAACATCTCTGAAATCATACCTATTGGCCATTGTTGGAAGAGACAAAAGTAATAGCGGATGAGTAAATTTAGAGTTCGTATTTTTAGATAAGACTGTGAAATGTTGAAGTCCCCTCAAAGATACAAAGTGCATAAATGATTAAAAAGGAGAGGATTTAGGATAAGTACTGAACAAAGCTCAGTAAAAATGTGATTTGCTTTAATCTTCCAGATAAACTCAGCATTGTGCATCGTCCAAGTGGTAAGTGTTCAGTATTAAATGGAGGGCTTAAGATAAACACAAAATTTGTAGAAGCCAGTATCAACATTATTATCAACTAAATAGGTTTTTGTAAAAATTCATGTAGATTTTGTATTCATGTGCAAGGCCACTTGAGATGTAAAACCAGCATTAGGTGGCTGGAGATCAGCAATGCCTAAGGCATTGGGACAGGGCCAAAGCTCCTGTTGACCCTTATAACTTACCTGTGACCATTGGTTTGTGACTGACGCTCTCTATACCTATTTTCATGTATGTAAAATATAAGAACTGTACCCTGGGACTTACTAAGAGCAATTGAAATTTGAAAACCAATTGAGTGATTCACTTGAATGTGATTGGAAAGGAATGTGAACCAGGTGTTGGGGAAAAGTAGGTCTACAGGCCCACTAGAGAGCTGTTGAATAACCCAGAAGAAACTGACTACAACTTAGACCAGAGTACAATAAGTAAGATGGACACATAATAGAAATGAGCTCTGGGGCTGGGAAGGAAGCTTGTTGTTAAGACAGAAAATGGAGCCAGGTGCCGGTGGCTCACGCCTATAATCCTAGCTATTCAGGAGGCTGAGATCTGAGGATCGTGGTTCAAAGCCAGCCTGAGCAAGAAAGTCTGTGAGACTCTTATCTCCAAGAAACCACCAGAAAACCGGAAGTGGCTATGTGGTAGAGTGCGAGCCTTGAGCTGAAGAGCTGAGGGACAGTGCCCAGGCCCAGAGTTCAAGACCCACCACCCACAAAAACAAACAAAAAACAAAAAAGACAGAAAAGGGATAGGCCAACAGTTAGTAGAGAAGTATAGGAGAATGTGCTTCATGACTAACCAGTCCAGGTGAGTGCTGAAAAGATGAAGAAAGTTTAGTCAAGTGTTGGCTCTTACTTAAGGGATTTGTAAAGAAAGCTTCAAAACTAAAGGGACTTCTCAGCATCCTACCCTGTCCATTCATTTGAATAGCATATATACCCATAGTACTTTTTTTTATCTGTTTAGTAATTCTTTTTAACCCTTATTATTTGTATGCATCACTTTTAAAGTGCTGAATAAATGAATCATTCTATGTGTGAATGACAAAGGAGATAGTAATAAAATCCATTCTAATTCTAGGTAACACTGCCCACAATGAAAATATGTTATACAGAATTCCCTTCAGCAATGAGGTAAGTTGTGTTTCTTTTAATTTTCCAAAGAAAGAATTTTTTCTGTTGAAAAAGAACAACCTATCTTGTCTGTGCTTTAAGACAAATGTGAACCAAATAGATTAGATGAGCATTTGTTTGCAAAATCCATGAGCAGTAATTTAAGGAAATTAACTATTTAGAAAAATAAAGAAGGAACATAAAAGGGGAAAAAGTGTGAGTGGATAATGTGTACAGAGTAAGTCTTGGAAAACTTATGACTGCATGTTTTAATAATAAGAATTTGGTGAGCCTATTTGAATAAGAATGAATAGTCCTTAAAAGTCTACTTGGAAAAATAGAGGCTCAAAGTATTGTTGATTCAAATGGTCATTACTCCATATTTTAGACTTAACAGAAAAGAAATGCTTACAAGAAGATTAAAAATAACAGTAAGCTAGGTGAGCAACAATTGAAAACCAAGACAGATTCAAGAAAATGCTCCTAATGTCCTGATGACAAAATCGTCTTCGTGAAAAACATGTTTTCTCAACTATCTGCATGTGTGATGCACATAGAAATTTGCATAGCTACCAAATGTCATGGGAGCTCTTGGATTTATTGCTAAAATCCAGAATTAAAAGTCCATGGCAAGCTTCAAAATGAAATGAATTTCATTTTATAAAATTTTACTCATTTTTTCAAGCCATCTTGTTTCAAGTAAATCATAATTTATCATTCGGGTTATTCACCCTTAAGAATCAGTTGAACTTTCCAATTTAGGCAGTTGGGGGGGGGGGGGGAATGGGATGGGGGTAAGGAGGAAGGGTAGTTGTAGAGGTGGGAGGGAAGGGATGGTAGGGGAAAAACAAAGGAGGAGGCAACAATGCTCGATAGGAAATGGACTCATTACCTTGTTCATGTAACTGTAACCCCTCTGTACAGTGTTTTCACAATTAAAAAAACATATTAAAAAACAGACATTTTAGAGTTGCTGCCATGAAGACATTTAACTGTAAATGTCTTCAATTTATCTCACCCAATAAAGCAATTTCAAAAAATGACTTTAAAATTTGGAGTCTAGGCTTTGCTTTGCCTTACTTTTAAATGGGTATATTGAATACCCATTAAATGCTGTTAAATAAATATATTAAATATAAAAAAAATCAGTTGAAATACTTCCCTTACTAGATTATTCCATAGCCTCCACCCCCCATGGACTATAGAGCTACCGACTGAGGACACCTTTAAGGGTTGCACCAAAATCCATGTATTTATGAATGTCTTTGTCAAACAAAGAGTCTTCCACAGAATCAGAAGGACTACAGAATGATAGCAATTTTTCAGGGACAGGACTGTGAATAAGAGGAACAGCTTAGGCTGTTTTCCATCCAAATCAACATAGATCTTGACTTAGTAGTTTATGTCTATACCATTGGGAAGCCAAGGAGACGGCAAGCTGAAGGAAGGCCAGCCCGGCCTACAAAGTGAGATCCTATTTCAGAAACCCAACAGACAAATTTGAAAAGTGAATGAATGAATGAATTAAAATTTGAACACAAGGATTTCCATGAACTTTGTAATAATTTTGTTTCCTTTTAAGATGGAGAAGTGTCTTTCCATTTGCCTTACAGAGCTGATTTTTCATAACTGAAAAGCTCCTATGCCTCTGTCATGTTTCTTTGTTCAGTTTTCAAACAGAGAAATCCTAGCTCTGAAATGTTTTTTTTTTTTTTAGCTTCCTGCTCGACTCCAAGTTGAAAAGGAATTTGGATTCCTCAGCAGTAAAGATCATTAAATAAGGTAAAATGTTAGGCTTTTTAAAAAAAATCTAAAACAGACTTACGACAGACTTGAATTATTTGTCTAAGACATAAAAGTCTTAAATATTTCATTGGCTTCTGAAAGAATAAACACGTGTATTTTTCAAGCTAACAGTGATTGTTTCTTGGAAAGATTAATGCACAGGGGCGATTTTATCATAGCTAATACATTTCAATGGATGAGCCATTATTCACTAAAACATTTCCTGTGATCTCATTTGCAGATTATTATAACGGAACTCAAGGATCTGCAGACATTTTGCTTTCCGGGAGAAGCAAGCTTGTGTTTGGATGGCTTGCTCTCTGAGAGACAGAGTTATACAATGAAAGAAAGCAGAAACTAGCACATGGATTTATTACACCTGCTTCAACTGAGAATGTCTATCAATGTTAAGTCAAAGACCAGTAACAGTCACTGAAAATCCTTACATTTTACAGCACACTTTGCCACTGAAACCACTCATTTTGAATATTAAACAAAAACAAGGACAAAGAAGTGAAATGTGGTGTCTTACAGATACAGAGCCTGCTTAAAGGATTAACTTTTTGGGATCATTTCTCCTCTTAGAATAGCTATAAAAATATAAATTTACTTAGAATCTATTTGCCGTTTAAATGAGAGGTTTGCTGTCTACTTTTCTCACATTCTGAGGTTTATATATTCTTGTTGCATCATGCTTGCAGAAACCTTCCTTTATTTAGTGCCTCTTCGCATGTAACCCTGAGAACATTGTACTTTTGAGAAAACTTTACATTTTTCTTTTCTCTTTTATTGGTATTTTTAATGCTGAGGAATCAACCACATGGCCTCACACATGATAGTCAACCATCCAACCACTAAGCCACATCCCTGTACTCAATGCTTCTTCTTTATACATATTCATTATACATGTTAAGAGCTTCTCCATAAGATTTTCAGTCTTGCATAAATCACTGATCATACCTATTCTACCTTCTGTTGAAGATGACCCCTCCTATAGCCCACCCAGGGACCTTCTCCACCCCTAAAAGTCTCTCTTCATTTCTTTCACTAGAATGATGATACATTTGCACAACCTTACTTCCTCATTAAAAGTATTGCAATTTCAACAATCTGCTTCTTAGAAACCATTTACCAGCTTAGAATGCAATGCAGTTTTGTCATACTATGATTTCCATGTATGAATGATACAAATAAAGAATTTTAAAACTCTCTATGACTTTTCAAAATAAATTAATGAGTATTAATCACTGAATGTTCTAATTATCACCTTTTTAAATTTTATTTTATTATAAAGATGCTATATAGAGGGGTTACAGTTACATGAGTAAAGAAATGACTACATTTCTTGTCAGGCTTTGTTTTTCTCCTACTATCCCTTCCCTCACCCACCTCCCTCACTCCTCCTCCCCCAAAGTTGTAAAGTTCATGTCCAACATAGTGTCTTGTGAGTATCATCATTACAATGGGTCATCCTGTGTCCTTGTTCCAGCGTTTTGTTATTCCCCTTCCCCTCCCCAAATTAGATAAATATATATACACGATGCAGGGTGCCAAAATTAAGTACCATGATAACAGGGAATATACCATAGGGGGAGAACATACAAAGGAAACAAAAAAATCACATAGTACATTAAAAACAACAACAAAGAAAAACCTCTGTGTCCATATCTTGGAGTTCATTTCATTTAGCATCATCTTATATGGTCATATGGACATTGCTTTTGAGCTTTTCTGCTCATCTGATAAAATTATCATAGATGTATAATAATTATTGCAAATGAGGGAAACCATGGGACCTATATCTCTTTGGGTGTGGCTTACTTCACTTAATACGACTTTTTCCAAGTCTTTCCACTTCTAAACAAATGGGGTGGTATCATGCTTCTGATGGAAGCATAGAATTCCATTATATATATATATATATATATATATATATGTATATATATATATATACATATATATATATACACCATATTTTCTTGATCCATTCATCTACTGAGGGGCATCTGGGTCGGTTCCATATCTTAGCTATGGTGAATAAAAAATGGATTAATCTCACTAAATCAGGACTATATGATAGAATAAACACAAGTGACTTTTTCTAGTTTCTAATCAGCGACAAATATCTAATTGAACTTATTATGCAAAACGTTTGCTGTAGGTTACTGTTTCATGTATGTATTAACAATTTCAAATAAATTCAAGTTTAAAAGAAATTCAATAAAAAATAATATTGCAAAAATAATATGATCAAGTCCTAAAAGAAAATACTTTGTGCATCACCCTGACAATAAAATTAAATTATAAAAGAAAATGCTTTGTATAATGGTATTTTCCAATTCAATCCATAGTTTTAAATCCCACATTTCAAGAAATTGCATACCCTCCCATGCATGGAGCCTGCATTTCTGTGGGCTGTCTCACCAAAAGTTGGGAAAAGCAATCATAAAAACTTTTCTATGGTTTTCCTAATTTATAAAATCCAAAGGAATATATTCTTTCTAAAGCAAGAACTTCCATATTGACCTGTGACCAGAGCTGACAATTAAAGCATTAGTTCTACTTTAACACAAAAATAGTATTTTTTATTATTATTAAGGAATTGTACAGAGGGGTTGCAATTCCCTAAGTCAGTAATGAGTACAGTTCTTCTTGGACAGTGTTGCTTCTTCCTTTGCTTTTCCCTGGTTTTCTCCTTCTGTCCCAGCCCACAAGTTGCATGGTTCATTTTAGTTTTACTCAATAAAAATGTGAGGTTTAATTATAAGTGAAATATTACCTTTGCCTATTAGAACACAACTATTTCACTTCATCCTTGAGGTTCAATTAAGGATGGAAGTGAGAGATAAGATCTGGATGTTATTCAGATCTTTACTGTACAAACCCAAAAAATCAAGATTTTGAAACCCAAATCTTAATGGCATAGACCATACCCTTTCAAATACTCATACTCATTCCGTGACATCTTTCCCTAGACACTCTGCCCTTGAACTACTACTGCTGCTGCTGCTGCTGCTACTACTACCTACTTTGTCAACATGAAGAAACATTTAAAAAGCAATCTAGAAATAACTAAGATCCTCTCTAATAAACTTCCTCTGTTATGACTCATCCTTCATTCATTATGTTTTGCCAGACCTATAATGTTGGATAGAGGAGGCTAGAACTATGAAGTCAGAAGGAATCTCCTCCTACTTGTCATATGATGAAAAAATAAAGAAATGAGTAAGAGAAGGAAAAATAATCCAAATGAAAGAATGCTCCATGAAGAAGTAGTGTTTTCAGTTCTGGAATGATAAAGAACTTGTTAGAATGCTGACATTAGATACATTAAATTGAATCACATAAGAGATGTTCTTCTTCATGACAAAGGGCAGCAAAAGAAGAAAAGAAGCAAGGACAAACATTGGACACTTGAAATTTCTGAAAGATCCCTGACAGAGAAGGAAATACTAGATGAGGGATCGAAAGCCTTCTTACTAAGCACGTAGCCAGGTGCTAGCGCTTCCCATCAGGTCAGCTCTGTTCTCAACCATGCACTCCAGAGCCATCCTCATCCTCAGCTCTGAAATTTACTCCAATACTCTTAAGAATTTTATTTTCTACCCAGTTAACAAAGAGGATGCGTCCAGATTCATGGGTTCATAACTTGGATAATTTTCTGGTTCCCTATGCTATGGATTTTGAGATACTAGAGACATTTTTGATTGTCCTGTGAGGGATTTGCTCCTGACTTCTAGAGTCCAGGGATGCTAATAAACACCTGCAATACACAAGACAAGGGAGGATCTGTTCCAAAATGCCCATAGTGCTGACGCTGAGAAATCCTGCTCTAGACTGTGAAGAAAACACATTAACAATTAAAACAGTGTTGTTAAAATGAAAGAGTTTAGAAGTGGAAACCCCTATGAGTCTATGTGAAAGTCCTTATTTTGGAGTTCATATGACTGAAGCTTAAATGGATCATTAACTCCTCAAGTGAATAAAAGTATCACATATTCTTACAAGTCAATATTATTCTATCCACAGAATCCATAATTTTAAGGAAATTTAGACCATTCTCAATACTTCCTAGTGAGAATTACTCCTAGTGAGTCACATTGACATCTTACTTGTGCACTAAGTTATTTCTGCATTCTATAATTCTCAGGGCCTTATTTCAATAACTTGTGCCTGCCTGAAGTTTCATTTCCAATTGCTTTCATAATGAGAACATTTTTAGAAGACTGGTCTGCATGGTGAGCTTGATCTAGTACACACCAAGTAATGAGAATCAAATTATTATGATGTCCTACTATAGCTTTTTCTTTAGTTATACCTCCCAGGTGCAGTTGACCTGACATTTTATGGTGTATATCTTTATAAGTGAGGTACTATATAAAAGATAGCAAAAGGCAAAGACTCTCAACATTCTAGAGCTGAACTTTATAATTGTTAGTATATCACTTTCTCAGTGTTCTCATCATTGAAAAACAGAGGAGAAAGTTATAAATAAATGATGTCATGTACTCAAGTGGACAGTGCCTACCGCATTCCAGAGCTTCAGCTATGAAGTAAGACCAACCTAATTTGAACCTTGACTCAACTATGTCCTGTCCATGTGAGCAAACTCAGATTTTTCATCTCCCAATTCCTACTGCTAATGCAAAGATAATAATGCCAGTGTTATCGTGTGTTAAATGTAAATCCAAAAGGACATCATCCAAAAGGACATTTGATTAATTAAATAGAACCTATTGATGATGAACATGGAAATCACACATAAATTAAACTATCTTTTTTTTTTTATATGTCAAAACTTTCTTCTCTTAGTTTCTCTTCTTTTTTTTTTTTTTAATTTTATTTTATTTTATTTGAGAACATACTGTACAGAGGGGTTACAATTACATGGGCAGGATAATGCATACATTTCTTACCAGGCATTGCAGCCTCCTCCTTTGTTTACCCTTCACCTCCCTTCCCACCCTCCCCCCTCACCCCCCACCCAATCAAATCCCCCTTTCCCCCCCCCCTTCTGACATTGTAAAGCTGGTTTTGACATGACATTTTGTACTTCTCATTGTTGCAACAGGTCCACCTGAATCCTTAAACGACTTGTTTGCCCCCGTCTCCTCCACATGTTATACTGACATCAAATATAATGAAAGCGGGGGTTACACTGTGGGGGAGGGACATACAAAGCAACAAAGAAATAATCTTATAAATGCGTTAGAAACACATGCATGAAAGAAACAAAAACATTAAAATACATATTTGAGGGTTCGTTTTCCTAACATCACATTATCTGACCTTTTCCGCTTGACTCATACCTATACTAGATATTGCAAATAAGGGAAACCATGGGACCTATGTTTCTTTGGGCCGGGCTTACTTCACTTAATATAATTTTTTCCAAGCCTTTCCATTTCCTAACAAATGGGGAAATGTCATTCCTTCTGATGGAGGCATAGAATTCCATTGTGTATATATACCACATTTTCTTGATCCATTCATCTACTGAGGGGCATCTGGGTTGGTTCCATATCTTAGCTATGGTAAATAATGCTGCAATAAACATAGTTGTGCTGGTAGCTTTAGTGTGGTCTTTTTTGTAAACATTAGGGTAAATGCCCAAAAGTGGGATTGCTGGGTCATAGGGGAGTTCTATGTGAAGTCTTTTGAGGAACCTCCATACTGCTTTCCAAAGTGGTTGAACAAGTTTACATTCCCACCAACAATGAAGTAAGGTTCCTTTCTGTCCACATCCCTTCCAGCATCTGTTGTTGTTAGAGTTCTTGATTTTTGCTGTTCTAACTGGAGTGAGGTGATATCTCAATGTTGTTTTGATTTGCATTTCTTTTATGGCTAGGGATGTTGAACATTTCTTCATGTGTCTATTGGCCATCCTTCTTTCTTCTTCAGAGAAGCTTCTCTTTAAGTCTTTCGCCCACTTACTTATTGGGCAGTTGTTTCTTTGAGGATTTGTTGTTGGGTGGTTTAATTTTTTGAGTTCCAAGTATATTTTAGATATGAGACCCTTGTCCGTTGTGTGGCTAGTAAAGATCTTCTCCCAATCCGTGGGCTTTCTATTGATCTTGCTAGCTATGTCATTTGCCCTGCAGAAGCTCTGCAACCTTATACAATCCCATTTGTCCAACCTTTCTTTGATTTGTTGTGTTTCCGGGTCTCTATTCAGAAAATTTCGGCCTGAGCCAAGGAGACCCAGGGTTTC